AATGGGGGTTTTGGGGGCACTCCGGGGGTAGGGACTGGTGGGGTGGGTCCCGGGTGTTAGTGGACGGTATGTGCCACACCTGGGTTTAGTGGACTGGTGTGGGGGGATCCTGGGGTTTGTGGACTGGTATGGGCCACATTCCCGGGTGTTTGGACTGGTGTGGGTCACATCCTGGGTGTTTTGGGCTGGTGTGGGTGGCATCCCGGGGTTAGTGGACTGGTATGGGCCACATCCTGGGTGTTAGTGGACTGGTGTGGGTCACATCCTGGGTGTTAGTGGACTGGTGTGGGTGGCATCCTGGGTGTTAGTGGACTGGTGTGGGTCACATCCTGGGTGTTAGTGGACTGGTGTGGGTCACATCCTGGGTGTTAGTGTACTGGTGTGGGTGGCATCCTGGGTGTAAGTGGACTGGTGTGGGTCACATCCTGGGTGTTAGTGGACTGCTGTGGGTGGCATCCTGGGTGTTAGTGGACTGGTGTGGGTCACATCCTGAGGGACAAGATTAAGGACCCTAATAGAAATGAGACAGTCCCTCCACGACGCACTACTTTTCCTGGGTGGCTAACTCTCCGGAGTTAAAAATCTTATCTCTTATCTTACAACAGCTGGTGCCCGGCTCCCACTGGGTTACAAGTATCTCTGCGAGGTTGCGATTTTGGCTTAATTAGCAACACTCTTCTTACCGAATAAGGCAAGCGAAAAATTGTGTATGCAGTAATTTCGCAAAAATCCTTTTGAACCGAAAGAAAAAAAAATATATTTCATTGTGCTTGTTTATTATTTTTGGTTTATTATTATTATTGTATTTGTTTATTATTATTTAGCTAATCCAACTAAAATATATTTAGTTGGATTAGGCTAAAATAAATTGAGCTTGTTGTAATAAGGTTAGGTAAGTTTTCGAAAGTTCTTTTGGTATAAAATTATTATTTCTTACATTAACATAAATGAAAAAAATATATCTTTAAACGTATAAGAGAAAATATTAGAAAGGACTTAATTTTAAACGAGTTCTTGCTAATTGACTAATTTTACCTATTCGGCACGAGTTACATTGTGGAAACACCCGTATTATGTGGCTACCCTAGCCTATAATAAAGTTACATTGTGGGTATACCCGTAGTGTGCAGCTACCCACAATATACTAGTTATTTACTAGGGTAGCAGCACACCGTATGTGCTGTGTGTAGGCACACAGTGTGCGGCTACCCTAGTGTGGGCACCCACACCATGTGTATCTACCCTAATGTATAGCGTTGCATTGTGGGTACACAGTGTGCAGCTACCCTAGTGTATCAAGTTACATTGTGGGTACACAGTGTGCAGCTACCCTAGTGTATCAAGTTACATTGTGGGTACACAGTGTGCAGCTACCCTAGTGTATCAAGTTACATTGTGGGTACACATGTGCAGCTACCCTAGTGTATCAAATTACATTGTGGGTACACGCGTGCAGCTGCCCTAGTGTAAACAAGTTACATTGTGGGTACACAGCGTGCAGCTACCCTAGTGTATCAAGTTACATTGTGGGTACACAGTGTGCAGCTGCCCTAGTGTATCAAGTTACATTGTGGGTACACAGCGTGCAGCTGCCCTAGTGTATCAAGTTACATTGTGGGTACACAGCGTGCAGCTGCCCTAGTGTATCAAGTTACATTGTGGGTACACAGCGTGCAGCTGCCCTAGTCAATATTTCATGATGCTGGATGTTTTGCAATCTCTCAGCCCAAGTTGGGAAACTTCAGTAGCTCACTGAGAATCTAGTGTGATAGCTTAGTTATACTCTCCTTACCCATGCTGTGGGTAGCAGTTTGTTAGCCTTATTACGCACCATACCCATGCTGTAGTCCTTACTTTTATAACTTTATTATGGACCCCACACCCATGCTGTGAGAGATATCTTAACTCTATTGCAAATCTCATACCTATTTGTGGTAGGTATCGAAAGATCACAAGGGCACATAACTGTTTAAAAAAAATCTGGGCCTTTATCTTATACAGATAACCCGCACTCCTATGTGCGGGTTATTTGTGTAAGAATGAAGATGATGTAAATATAGTGCTAAAAATATCTAACCAAGACAGGACTCGCAGCAATGGGTTCAAATTTGAAACATTTAGATATAGAAAGGCTTGGTAATAGAGTTGTGGATGAGTGGAACAAACTCCAGAGTAACGTCACTGAAGTGATAACTGGTTTTTGAAAACAAACAAGTTGAAGAATGACACACTTCTGCAACACATGGGAATCTTTGAGGAAACGTTTCACCACACGGGCTTCCTCAGTCCAACAGAAAGAAGAATGGTGCAAGGAGAGGAGTTTGAGGTAATCAGTCCCTCAACCTGGAATAAGAACATAAGAAAGAAGGAACACTGTAGCAGGCCTACTGAACCATGCGGAGCAGGTCCATGTCCCCCTCCCTCAGATTAGCCCAATGACCCACCCAGTCTGGTCACCTCCACTCAAGAAAGGAGCACGGCACCAGACCCAGCAGCACAAGCTAGTCAGGTCCAACTCACACCCACCCACACCCACTCATATGTTTATCTAACCTATTTTTAAAACTACACAACGTTTTTGCCTCAATAACTGTACTCGGGAGTTTGTTCCACTCATCCACAACTCTATTACCAAACTAGTGCTTTCCTGTATCCTTCCTGAATCTGAATCTTTCCAACTTGAAACCATTGCTGCGAGCCCTGTCTGGAAATTTTCCAGCACGCTATTTACATCCCCTTTATTTATTCCTGTTTTCCATTTATACACCTCGATCATATCTTTCCTAATTCTACGCCTTTCGAGAGAGTGCAGATTCAGAGCCCTCAGTCTATCCTCATAGGGAAGATTTCTGATACATGGGATCATCTTTGTCATCCTCCTCTGTACGTTTTCCAGAGCATTTATATCCACTCTGTAATACGGTGACCAGAACTGAGCAGCATACTCTAAATGAGGTCTAACCAAGGATATATAGAGTTGAAGAACAACCTGAGGACTCCTATTATTTATACTTCCAGATATGAAGCCAAGAATTCTGTTAGCTTTATTGCGAACACTAATGCAATGTTGTCTTGGTTTTAGATTACTGCTAACCAGAACTCCTAAATCCTTTTCGCAATCAGTAGTATTAAGATCTACATTATTTAGTTTATATGTGGCATGGTTATTTTCCTGTCCAGCATTTATAACTTTGCATCTGTCTATATTAAACTGCATCTGCCATTTCTCCGACCATTGCATCAGTCTATTCAAATCATCCTGGAGTGCTCTAGTGTCCTCATTAGAATGAATTGGACGGCCTATTTTCAGCTCATCAATCTTGAAGAAGGTACAGAATATGGCTGGAGAAGTAGCTTTTATACTGTAGTATACTGTATGATGTTGCAGCATCTAACAGATGTGATAAATGGTTTTGAAAACCGACAAATTGAAGAATGAGACACTTATGCAACATATAGGAATCTTTATTGAGGTAACGTTTCGCCACATAGTGGCTTCATCAGTCCAATACAAAGAAGAAAATCATGGTATCTTGACACAAGAAATTCTTCAACACATGTCCAACCTTTGGACGACGACCTACTTAACACTAGTGGATGGTTCCACTGTGACTCCTCCTACTTCCACTCACCTAGGTAATAATTTACACATAAAATAAGATAAGATTTCGTTCGGATTTTTAACCTCGGAGGGTTAGCCACCCAGGATAACCCAAGAAAGTCAGTGCGTCATCGAGGACTGTCTAACTTATTTCCATTGGGGTCCTTAATCTTGTCCCCCAGGATGCGACCCACACCGGTCGACTAACACCCAGGTACCTATTTGCTGCTAGGTGAACAGGACAACAGGTGTAAGGAAACGTGTCGAAATGTTTCCACCCGCCGGGAATCGAACCCGGCTAGGTATGACAATTGTACTTATGTGTGCCCGTACCTAAATAAACTTACTTATCCCAAGCAAAAATCGAGCAGTAGTTAACATCCGTCTGGAATTTGTTGTATGTGCTTGAGATAATGTGGCTTCTGCATAGCAGAATGATAGATGGATTAGGATGGTGGGTGTCCCGAGTCTATGAAGCTCAGGTTATTTGTGTAAAGCTCAGTGGTTATTGTAGTTGCCCACCATGCCCCAGCGCCTGGGAAATACATGTAAATACAATTTTTTATTTCTTTGTGGTACAAAATAGTTTGCATGGATGTGTGTGTGGGGGGGGGGTCATCAGATTTGATTAATGCAGAGGGTAGCTCTGTTTCCTTGGATTAATAGCTCTTCACCAGAATCGTAAGTATTGTAGAATGAATTCATGTTGCAAATGAGATGTTGAAATTTGTTGCAACATGCATCACGTTGTAACATGTTCCTGTTTGTTGCTGCTTAGTACCTGCCTAATGATATCTTGAACTATTTATTTATTTATTTATTTATTTATTGTTACTTTTTTCTCTGTTAAACCTTGATTTCTTGATGCTGTTTTAAAAAATGTCGATTAAAAAAGTAGCTTCGACTTGAGATATTATGTTTATAATGGAAACCATGTTCATGCTTAACACTACCATGCAAGTGTACAAACTCAAAAGCATATTTAGTTACAAAATTTCTTAAGTAAACACCATAGAATCAATTTATATTATTGTATGTGAGTATTAATTACATGAATATCGCCCTCACATAATTATTATTATTTTTTATTTAGGTTCTGTCTCCCTCTAAAGATTATAAATATAAAAACTATTTGTTTTAAGATTTTTATTTATTTTTATCTGTTAAGCTTTTCCTAAACACATTTCTTAATTATATATATGAGCCAAAATCAATAAAGAGAGAATGTAATGTAATACGCAGCACTAAGTAAATAAATCCACCCAGTCAGTGGGTGCTTCAGTGTACATACGCTATTAACTTTATTATCCATTTAATGGATTAAAATATTATTTCCTGCAGGTATACATGTAACAGGCAGCTTGAACTACCCTCGTGTAGTTGTTGGAGTATAAATGTTACAAGAAGGTTACACTCGGCCTCCCTGACACACACAAGCAGCCATGGCGGACGAACTACCTTACCGCGCCGAGTATGCTAAAAGTTCTCGTGCTGCTTGCAGAACATGCAAGGAAAAGATAGAGAAAGCTACGCTGCGACTCGCCGTGATGGTGCAGGTGATGGCAGCGTAACTTTTACATCATGGTAGTTTGTAGTTAGCGAGGGAGAGTGTGTTAGAGATGAGCGTCCATCATTCCCGCCAAAGTGCTGTTAAAGGGACTGCTGGAAGACCTCGCTTTATATTTTTATTTTTACCATCGTCTGGAAGCGTTTCTTAACATTTAATTGCCGCCTAACATTAATATCTTGTCCGTAGAATGCAAATTATTTGGTATGGGTGTTCTATGATGCATTGTTTTTAATCAGGTGTTGAAAATAATGGGACGGTGGGTGTTGTTGTTATAATAAAACTTTTTATAAATAACAAAAAAAGGCACAATACCGTGAATTGGAGGTGTCTTCTTCCTCGGATCAACCCTGATTGCCTGCCATACCCCAGACACTGACCCATGCGCTTAATATTTTGTTAAGCAAATTTTATTTCTTTCTGCAGTATACAAAATGTAGTTTTACATGTAATAAAATATTGTTAAGCGCAAAAAAAGCCAATGGGAATAAATAGTATTGTTTGACCTCATTGGGTTATCTTAGGTTGAATTTACACAATGTACTTGCAAAAAAAAAAAAAATATTTCAATCTATCGTCCCACCTCAAAGGGGGTTCTTTGATGCTGGTGAGGGGGGTCTTGATCCGAGGAGTTGGACATTTGCTCCCTTTCCTTGGATCAAACTTGAATACCTCCTAGGAGCTGTATGTGACCCCCTATGGGTTTAGTGCTTCACATGAATTTAATAATTCAAACTATTCATGAGACCATGAAAACGAGAATACAACGATAAATACTACATGAAAATACACCTCCAACTCGGCGTTTTAATCCAAAAAAACGGTCAGTTTTTTTTCCTCATGCACTGCGTGCTGCAGGATTTTTTTTCATGTGGTGCACACTGACCACAAAGACCCATTCTCTCTCACGTGGGCCTACCAGCTTTCTCCTGCTTGATTTGAAGCTGCTAGAATTATTGAGTATGTATACGTCCGAAACACTGGCTCGTAAGACATATATATGACCAAAACAGTCAAAAGGTTAATGAATGTAAAGTCTGTTGTGTTAAGGAGAGCAAAGGCCTTACTTATGCTATGGCTGTCTCTCGGCTCTGCCTTCAGGGGAATCTTCCTTGTGTCCCTTTATTCTCGAATAGCTAGGAGACTTCCAACCTTGGTGGGTTCCCCTGCCTACCAGGTCCTCTAGTGCCATGTCTTCTGGGGTTACCCCAGTCTCTAATTCTTTTGAAGTTTTACCCTCTGAAACCCCCCCACCTCTGTACCTCTTCCTACTACTTCATCTCGCCTGCTAGTTTCTCAGTCTGCGAGGCCTTTCACGCCTGCACCTTTCTTGTGTCTATCACCTGCTAGGTTGACCAAATCTCTTTGCATTCCTCTGGTGATTTTTGCAGGTTTTTCTGAGGACAGGTAAAGCCCCCTACACCCTCCAGTTCATTTTATGGGTTTTTTAATAGGTCTGATTCAATTATTGGGTCACTGTAAACCATAACCAATCATTCCTGATTATAATTTATCTGAGAAATAAAATAAATCATTGTTTTTGTGTGAGTATTAATTCAGCATGGAAGGCAAGTGTAATATAGGAGTGGCCTGGGAATGTGATTACTGAATAGGGGAAATGTTTTTTGGACATATTTTTAAATTGGTATTTTCTTAATTTTATTTAAAATGTACTAAATTACCAACTTCTGTGCACTTTATAGATTTATTGTAATAGCTGAATCGGTAATTTCTTGCACTCAGTCGATTGAACGGAGGGCATACTAGTGAAATATCTAAGAATTCGATCAAATAGAATTGGCTTAAAGTGGGACTCGGTCAATGAAACTGCCAGCGTATAAATTACTCCGAGATTGCTGACTTTATGGCTGCATAATTCTGCAAGCTTTCCATCATATTTCATATGAGAAGAATTTTTTTTTTTTAAGTAGGTACCGAGAGCAATATTAATTACAGGGTCTGGACAGTGAAGTGGTTGAAATTACTTCTGTGTTCGATTGAAACAACCTGCTGTGCAAGTGAATGTTTTGGTAATAAAGATATCCAAGTGTTGCAAGTGTCTTGTTCATCAGCTTGTCAGTATTATATACTGTACTATAAATACAGTGATGTGATTGAACCCAGTATATGAGTGTTTTCCAGGTCATGTTTGTACTGTATCTTTTGTTTCATTAAACCTTTTATTATAATACTGTACAGTGGTTTGGAATTTTTTTTTAGCTTGGTGAATGTTAACATGCTACGTATCTTTTTGCTAGTTATTTGAGTGTTAAATCCAGTCGCTTCTTTCTCATAGCTGTGCTTTTTGTCAGTGGATCTAAGGATGCTGTTGGTTAACCATGGGCCAGATAGTCTTTGTGACCTGCTTAGTTTTTAGAGGCAAAGGGGATAAAAGAGTGTGTAAAAATTATAGGAGAATAAGTATCCCATTGAGTATTCCTGATAAGGTGTATGGTAATTATTACTGAAAGAATTAAGAGTAAGACGGAGAGCAGGATTGCAGATGAGCAAGGAGGCTTTAAGAAGGGTAGGGGGTGTGTGTACAGTGAACCATATAGGTGAACAGTATTTAAGTAAGTGTAAAGAGATTTTCATTGCATTTTTTATAGATTTGGAAAAGGCATATGAGCAGTGTGACAGATGTTGCAAGTTTATGGAATAGGTGATAGGTTACTGAAAGCAGTTAAGAGTTTTTATGAGGTGAGTGAGGCTTGGGTTGGAGTATGTAGGAGAGAGGGAGATTATTTCCCAGTAAAAGTAGGCCTTAGACAGGGATGTGTGATGTCACCATGGTTGCTCCATATATTTATAGATAAGGCTTGTAAGAGAAGCGAATACAGTGGACCCTCGTTTTTCGTAATTAATCCATTCCAGAGTGTGACTAATATCGAAATAGACAATTTGCGAAACCATTAACCCCATAAGAAATAATGTAAAACCAATTAATCCCTTCCAGACTCCCAAAAGTATTAAAACAAAATAATTTTTTTACATGAAATATAGATGTACATACACAGAAAACAATGAGACATGAAGAGTGAAACAATAATAGCATGACACTTACTTTTATTGACGAGTCTTTTTAGTGTATGGAAGATGGGAGGAGGGGAGAGGATGGATTAATTACTGTTTGGAAGGGGAATCCCCTTCCATAGAGACTTCAGGTACCAAGTGCTTTTCTGGGGTTACTTCCCTTCTTTGTTTTTTAATGCCACTAGGACCAGCTTGAGAGTCACTGCACACCTGTGGCACTAAATATCTGTCCAAAGAGTTCTGTTTCTGGCGTCTCTTTAACCCTTTAAGGGTTTCGGCCGTACTAGTATGGCTTACGCGCCAGGGTTTTTGACGTACTAGTACGCATAAATTCTAGCGCCTTCAAATCTCGCGGGAAAAGGCTGGTAGGCCTAGATGTGAGAGAATGGGTGTGTGGGGTCGGTGTTCGCAGTAGAAAAAAGCCTGGGACCCAGTGGCGCATTGTGGGAACGCCATTTTAGTAGACCTTGTTCATCATGCCTCGTGGTAAGAAGCTCCTCACTCCTTGGCGAATTGGGACACTTTTGTTCCCCAGTGACAGTTCTAATACAGATGGAAGTGCCAGTGAAGATGAGTTTCAAGGTTTTGGTGAGGTTGTGACCAAAACTAATGACCATAATATCGGTAATAGTGAGGAAAACCCAGACAACCCTCAGCCTTCCACCTCTGCTGCTGGGCCGTCTTGTTCACGTGCAGTTGTACCAGAATCAAAGAGGAAACTCCTATTTTCCCAAATCCCGGACTCAGATGTGAGCATTGGTGATGATAGTGATAGTGAATATGAACTACAAGCTCTTGAAACCAGTTCCAATAGCGATAGTGAAGTGGAATATTCTCCAGTGAAGCGTCAGTATATACGACGATATATGAGCTCTGGTAGTGTGCCATATGCTATTCCAAGGGGAAGGAGTACATCTAGGAGTACATCCCGTGGCTGTACAACAGGAACAGACAGTGAAAATGACGATGATAGTGTTGCAATTGGGATGGAAAATGTGCATGGTGGTGCCGGCCATGAGGCACCAGCAGTGGGCCATGCTGCCACCCACGCCGCTGCCTCAGCTGACCTACAACGAAGGCCTCCATCCCCCACCCACCCACCACACCAGCTTCCACAGCCATAACCTCCACAACCACCAACTCCACAACCACCAACTCCACAACCACCTGTCAATGTCCAGTGCTCACCAGCAGACTGCTCCTGGGATTGGCAGGAAGCTGTCAATTTTGTTCCAAATCCCCACCAGTTTGATGAAAGCCAAAATGGAATACGGCCATGTTGTACACTGGGAAGCAATGCCAATGAACTGGAATGTTTCGAGTTATTCTTTGACGAACCCCTGATGGAAATTATTGTCAGGGAAAGCAACAGATACTACGAGTACACCATGGCAAACACAATACTTTCACCAAACTCACGTCTACACCAGTGGAAGGAGACAACCGTGGCTGAGATGTATCTTTTCTTTGCCACAATAATGCTTATGCCACATGTGTATAAGCACAGTGTGAAATCATACTGGTCAACAGACTGCCTGGTTGCAACCCCAGGTTTCAGTGATAAAATGGGAGTGAATTGATTTGTGCTACTGTTACGTATGCTTCACTTCTCAGACAAAACCAGGCCTGACAGAAACGACAGGTTATTTAAGATTAGGAATGTGTTTGTGTATCTGAAAGAGAAATTCAATATGTATTTTTATCCCTTCAGGAAGCTTGTAATTGATGAGTCTTTGATTCTGTTCAAAAGAAGACTTTCTTTCAAGCAGTACATACCAAGCAAGAGGAAACGCTTTGGTATAAAGTTGTTTGTGCTTTGTGATTGTTACAGTGGTCTGGTATTGGATATTATTGTGTACACTGTAAGTTATACATTGCAAAATACCAGGAAGTTATTGGACATCTCTGGTGATGTTAGAACAGTGATAGAACCATACCTTGGTAAGGAGCATATAT